CCTGTCTACCACACACTTGGCCACATAAACCAGTGGGAGCTACAACCTAATCGGAGTGACCAACAATAGCCTTTGCCAGGTCTGTCCCCTGCCCTGGTTCCTGTGCTTGCCAGTATGTACAGCAGACTGGTCCAGTCTGTCCCACCTCCCATTCAGCTCTCATACATGTCAATGGGCATTGAAGCCTAGTTCAACCCAACCACTATCCAGCCCACACACCTGCCAGCGGGTGCCATTCTCTGTCTAGCATTGACGTCCTGGTCCTGGTTCTCATGCTCACTAGTCAGAGTGGCAACCCAGAGGGAGGTGCCCACTGTTTTCCTACTGAGCCCATTCCCACTGCCAGATCATGCACTTTCCAGGTGGTTCTGGAGTTTGGCTTGACAGAATTGGTCCCCCTTCCCCCCATGCTAGCCTCTGCTAGTTGATGCTGTGGCAGAGCCCAACCAGCCCATGGGTGTGATCATTGTTTCCAAACTTTCTATTTCTTCTTCCCATTTCTGGGGCGAGGGGGTGAAAAGGGGAGAAACCATACCCAGCCTTCCCACCAATCCAGTACCTAAAGATAGGAAATGACCACCCAGGGTCTAAAGTGGGGCACACTCTGAGGGTTCTGCCTAGATGGATGCAATAATTCTGGAATGCTGTCGATCTCACTGGTCTGTGGATAAGCAATCCCTTCCAATATCAATTCGCTGACATAGTCGACCTGAGAGTCTCCATTCGCCCAGATAGTTGCTGTCATCGTTGGGCTGGGATAGTTATCCATATGTACTATTCTCCATTTTCTGATAGGGTACCAGATGTCCTCTGCAGACCCCAATGGGCTACTATATCCTCTATGTGCACCATGGCCTACCATCTAACACTCTATCCTTTACACCGAGGAGGACTAGATCTCATAGAGGGGCCCATGGACCCAGGGCAGGCAACCCAGGCCCCATCAGATCCCCAACCCTGGGACTTATGGACTCGGCACCCACCATGCAAGTGGGCCTAAGAACCCGGGCCAGGTAATCCGAGCCCTGACTGGCTTCTGTCTCCTGGTGCTGCACTCAGTTGATGGCTCATTTTCTCTACACCTATGCTCACAGAGGTGAGCAATACTGTAGAGTTGTAGGACACCAGGCTTATCCCATTACAAGCAGATGATAATTAACATCAACTGGACTCTCAATAGTACCAATTCATCCTTCGACTGATACCAAAAACTTTTTAAATCTTTCAAAAACCAAACCAAATCAAAACTTCCCTACTTGACTCAAGCCTACTTGACTTAAGCTAAATACCTGCCACCACCTGATTCTTTTTTTTTAAAGATTTATTTTTATCATAAAGTCAGATGTATACAGAGAGGAGGAGAGAAAGAAATATCTTCCGTCCGATGATGATTCATTCCCTAAGTGACAGCAATGGCCGGTGCTGTGCCAATCGGAAGCCAGGAGCCAGGAACTTCCTCTAGGGGTGCTGGGTCCCAAGGCTTTGGGCCGTCCTTGACTGCTTTCCCAAGCCACAAGCAGGGAGCTGGGTGGGCTGCGAGACTGCCAGGATTAGAACCGGCACCTGTTTGGGATCCTAGTGTATTCAAGGCGAGGTCGTTAGTTGCTAGGCCACAGTAACGGGCCCTACCACTTGATTCTATTTCTACTTCTCTATATCCAAACCATATGCTTACAGTGCTACTTCTTGATTTTTTATTTTAAAAAATTCAAGAGTTATTTCATTTAAAAGGCAGAACTAGAGAAGAGAAGAGAGAGAGATCTCCTTCCCTCAGATTCTAAGCTGTTAACCTTGACTTTTATTCTTTTACTGTTTCTGGATAATAAAAGCCATTAGATGGGAATTCTTGTGCTCTAGAAATGAAACCAAACTAGCCCACACTGGTTCCCATCTTATGCATCTTCTATTGAGCTGTTTCTCCTCTCTTTGTAATGTGTGCTCTCTGTTGTGGGTGCTCTCAAAGTTATGTAACTGTTGTTTCAATTTCTGTCAACTGGAGCTTTTCCACTCATTTTAATCTCCAATATTTTCCTGTGGATTTGGATTTTATTTGAAAGGGAGGGAGAAAGCTGGATTGAAGCATCAGAACTGAGACTCAAACCAGACACTCCGATATGGGATACAGGTGCCCCAAGTGGCATCTGCATTACATGCCCTCACTTCCAGTCATTGAAAAATATTCTAAAACCTCAAAAGCAACTAAACCCTCCATTCAACACACCAGTGAACCGACCAATGAGCCAACCAACCACTAAACAAGCAGCAGCGGTGTTGGTCTTCTTTTTCGTTCTTCCATGGAGGATTGTGGGCTGCTTCCTGCTGCCATAAGGTCTTCTCTTACACTAATGCTATAGTGACCCAGAGCAGCTTATTGACTAGATAGAAAGTGCCTTGAGTCTCATTTTCAAGAAACACTTACCTGATCTCAAAATTGGATCCTACCACTTGATGCACAATGATCATTTGTTTTTCTGACTATTGAATGGAGGAGGGCTGTATGTTTGGGGCTGCAGTTAAGACACTGCCATGCCTGCCTTGAGTTCTGACTCTCTTGCTTCAGATTCAGCTTTTTACTAATGATCTTCCTGGGAGGCACCAGGTGATGACTCAAAGAGCTGGGTCTCTGCCACCCACACTGGGACACTGTGAGTTCTGATCTCGTAAGTTCTGATTGCCTGACTCTGGTCTACCACAGCCCATGGACATTTGGAGAGAGAACCACTGGGTGGAAATGGTTGTCCTCTCTTTCAAATACATTGAAAATAAAGAAATAGCAAACCAGATACTTGTAATAGCTGGCTTCAGTGATGTTGACATGATCGAATTATTGTTTACAAGAATGGTTCTTCTTTTTCCCTTTCTTGCCAAATTTCTTTGTGAACTTCTGTTCTGCATTCTGCAGTCATTAAAAAATAGATTTATTTATTTGAAAGGCAGATTTACAGAGAGAAGGTGAGTTAGAAAAGTTCTTCCATCTGCTGGCTCAATACCCAGATGGCCACAATGGATGGAACTGAGCCAATCCAAAGCCAGGAGCCAGGAGCTTTCTTGGGTCTCCCACATGGACATAGGCACCCAAGGCTTTGGGCCATCCTCTACTGCTTTCCCAGGACACAAGCAAGGAACTGGAAGGGGAGTGGAGTAGCCGGGACACAAACTGGTGTCCATATGGGATCCCAGCATCACAGGGTGAAGGATTAGCCTGCCTCCAGATTACTTTTTTAAAGAAACCTCCACCGACTTCCCCTATTGAACCCAGGGAGCACATACATGTTGTTTTGTCTGTTGACTCCTATTTATAGGGCAAACTGTAGGCACAGTGACATGCTTGTCTGAGTAATGTCCTTGTTTTTGGTTAATACCCTGTCCTTCGCAGGGGAAGGTCAACTCCAGGAGCACAAGCATGGCGCCCAATTGAGCTCACTGTTGTTAGGATTTACTATGTTTGGTTCCTCCAAACACGCAGTTACAGAAACAGAGGGTGAGTCTCCCTGATGGAGGACAGTGGGAGGATGAGGATGATCCTCGAGATGTCCTTTTTAGCTGACACTGGTGGGCTGCCCACTAATCACGATCGTTATGATGACAGTAATTCACAGTTTCAGAGGAGGAGCCCTGAGCGGTGCATCGGAGCAGGCAACCTGTGCCTGTATTCCTGGCCGCATCATCTGCTGCCTCCGGGATCTCACTCATGTCCCTGGGCCTCTCAGTTTCTCTTCTGCCTTGAAGTGGGCCGCAGCTGTCAGCACAGAGCCGGTTCTTGTCAAGCAGGCAGTGGAACCTTTAAATAGTTCGGTTTCAGGCATTTTGCACGGTTATGCAATGGTCGGTACGCACCATAGAGATGTCCCTGCACTTACAGCCAACGTCACAGGGACAAACTCTTTGTCCCCATCAGCCCTTCCCGCAAAGGGTAAAAAAAAATTACTTGGTTGTTTTGGTTTTCTAACAAATGAATTCAGGAACTAGGAAAATAGAGTTCCAGTGGCTTTCGTCCTTTCCCGCACTGCACTCCGAGTCCAAGGCTGAGAATGGCAGAAGGTGTGAGCATGGGAGTGGGGTGGGGGTCCCTACCACCTGAAACACCCCAGGAGCGCCTGCTCAGCTGCCCACTGCCGGCTCATCACCAGTGCTGCCCTGGAGCTTTTTCCTCCCTCGATTTCTCTTTAAAAATTCACGAGATTCATGCTTTGAGAATCTCAGAGAACACGACTCCTCCGAACACCATTCAAGGGAAAAAGAAATCCCTTCTTTCGGAATTAAAAAGTAGAACTCTTGTCCACTTGGCCCAGCTGAGCTGGCGAGAGGAGGCCTCGCGGCCAAGATGCCGCAGGAGCCACATGTGGGGTGCTGCCCGTGCGACTGGGACTGGGGTCTTGGTTTGCTCTCCAAGCTGCTTTTCTCCCTCCCTTCTGTTCACACTCGGGGGACCAGCAGGGGCTGCGAGTTTTAGGGGACAGTGTGTGTGTGTGTGAGTGTGTGTGAAGTGTGCATGGAAGAGAAGTTCTATGCGTGCCTGGGACACATCTCCAGAGCCCCCTGTACTTGAACTTGGCCGGGGTCTGAGCCTGGAGTAGCACTAGGCTGCGCGGGACCTTGCGTGTCGGCGGAGGTACCGAGGGGCCCGTGTCTGTACGTGGTGTGTGCGCGCGCGAGTGTGTGAGCGCCAAGGGCCGCCCGCCCGCCGCGGCTCCCCGTGGGTCGGCCCGGCCAATGAGCGCGCGGCTGCAGGGGCGGCGGGCGGGGAGGGGGCGCCGGAGCCCTGCGGATGGAGGAGGCCGGGGCGGCGCGGCGCGCTCCGTGCGCGCGGGCGGTGCCGGCGGGGGGCGGCGCAGCCACTGGCCCAGGACCCGGGCCGCGACCCGGGGCGGCGGGCGGCGTGGGCGGCGCCCGCGCCTGGGATGCGCCGGGGCCTCCGTGGCGGCGGTGGCGGCGTCGCCGGCTGCTGCTGCTGCTGCTGCGCGGGGACGAGCTAGCGCCGCGGCGCGCGGAGCCAGTCGAGCCCGGCGGGCGAGCGGAGGCGGCGGCGGCGAAAGCAGTGCGGAGGCGGCGACGGCGCGGACGGCGGCCACAGCTGGAGTCCGAGCTCCCCGCGCCCACCATGGCCGCCCAGGGCGAGCCCTGCTACCTGGCGGCTCAGTCGGACCCGGGCTCCAACAGTGAGCGCAGCACCGATTCGCCCATGCCGGGCTCCGAGGACGATCTGGTGGCCGGCGCGCCCCTGCACAGCCCCGAGTGGAGCGAGGAGCGCTTCCGCGTGGACAGGAAGAAACTTGAGGCCATGTTACAAGGTAGGCATCCCCCAACGCGTCCTCGGGGCTCTAGCTCCTTCCTCGCTCGGCTCCCGCTACTTTGGCGCCCGGAGCGACGCGGGAGGTGGGTCACGCCGCTCGGGGCTGCGGGTGCCGGGGTGGGGTTCGGGGGTGCTCACTTGGCCGGCTTCAGAAGCCGCAGGCCGAGTCGTTACTGGTGCACCCAAGTTGCAGCCTCCTCCTGGGAGATGCGGGCTTGGGTCGGGACACCCAGGCTGTGTCCCGCTCGCCCCGCGCGCCGCGCCGAGTCTGCGAGCGTCTCTCCGCTCCTCGGCAGCCGGTCCGTTTCTTTCTGTTTGCCTCTCTGCCTTGGCAGCCCCTCATCGCTCAGCTGAGGGGCCTTGACTCGCCAGTGGGAAACGCTTTGCAGATGTCCAGGCTGAGGACGCGAGCTGCCGCTCCCTCCCGCGCCTCGGTGCTCGGAGGGGCCCGGGGCGAGGGGACTGCGTCGGGCAGTGGCGCTGTGTGAGTGTGCGTGCGTGTGTGTGTGTGCTTGTGTGTGTGTGTGTGAGTCTCCCCTCTCTGGCTTATAAAACACCACAGTTACGTTCAGCTCTGACAAATCTTGCTGTGTGCTGCGGAGGTCTGATTTCTTTCTTTCACAATTTGGGATTTTTTTTTTCCCCTCCCCACTCAGTTACTCAGTTTCTCTGGGACTTTCCCAGGCAGGGAAACTTTAACCATACCAGACTGGGAGCAGCTTCTGATTTATAAGGCAAGGATTGGAGCGAGCACTAAACATCCAAGGTCATTTTGACCTTCCTTAACAGTTTTAATTAGTAGCAAACCTGAAGCTACTGGAGTGGCTCCTTTCCCACGAGAGAAGCCTAGGGCTTAAGGCTGCTCTGGAGGGTCAGGCCAAGAGTGTCACCAGGGCCAGCGGCGAAGACTCCTTCAGTAGTTACTGTCCCCTTATCAGGCAGAGTTGAAACTTGCCCAGCTTCTCTTTTTGTGGCGTTAGTGCATAATGTTGACTTTATCAGTCAACGAATCACATTATGGGAGCGATTTAGACCCCGGGGTAAACGCAGTGGCTTTGGAGAGCTATTAAGCGGGTTATTTTAAGAGAGAACACCATGTTTTCCAAAACAATAACTTGGTGGAAACAGATAGCCTGAGTGTTTGGCAGGCGTTTTTGGATGCTCTCGGCTCTCCTCTCCCTTGCTGTTTATTTTTATTGATCAACGTGCCTGATAACTTTCTTTCTGTACTTACCACTTAGCTCACATTTCTTCTTAGGATAGGAACTTCTGTGTTAAATCGCTCCAACAAGCTGGTGAGATTGACATTCAAGCACCCAGGTGCACTTCAGCTACTCGTTGTAGCTATTTACTTGGCTCTTAATCTGAGTTTCTTATTAACTTTTAGAAAAATATTTTGAGATGGTCTGGACTGAATTGATAAGAGATCATGTTTATGAATTTTAGCAAGTTTCCAGCTTTCTGTAAGAATGGAGTGAGGTGAGAGGTGTATAATGTGAGTTTAGAGGCAGAATTCCTTTTCGAAGCAATCCGTTTTCATTTTGGATAAGGTGCAAATGGGGAAATGGGGAGGGCTTTTTTTTTTTTTTTAACGTTTGGAGGCTCTGTACATCCTCTGTAAATAGGATGTGCTGACATGAGAAGGTTTAGGCTTTTGCAGCAGTCAAGTTTCTTTAGCAGATGTTAACAGAGTTTAACGTTTTTCCAGCAGTCTGCAGAGGTAAGGAGCTATTCAGGGGGGGCCTGGCGTGGTGGCACAGTGAGTTAAGCTGCTGCTTGGGATACACACATCTCCCACCGGAGTGCTGTTTGAACTTGTTCCAAGCTCTGCTTCTGACCCATTTGCCTAGGATAGCACCACAGTGCTTGGATTCCTGCCCCTCCAGCCTGAGCAGTGAACCAACAGATGGAAGATACCTCTCTCTCATCGACCTCTTAGTAAATAAATCTTTATGTCAACTAGCCTTACACAGTTTCCAGTATGTGTTTTATCCTTTCTGAGAAAGTGAATTGAGAACCTTTTGAACGCGGCTCCCTGTGTGCAGTGTACCAGGGCATTTTATGATGCTTGTTTTCTGGTGTAGGGCACGTCGAGCAACCATGATTGTGCAAACGAGAGTAGTGAGTGGGTCTTGGTGTTACACTAGGTGTTGATGGTGAGGGTGAGTGTTAGAATCACTCACACCTGGGTTCAGATCCCTACAGGACCTTGGAAAATCTAGGCCTTTGGCCTCCGTTTGCCCATCCATCTAATGGAATTGCTGTGAGGCCATTTTTCTGAGCTTTTATGAGACCTGAAAAAGATAATGGCTAATAAGTTAAAACTTGCTCTTTGTGTTGATAAGTGATAAAAGCTTAATAAAGACCAGTTACTTTATTATTAATAATAAACATTGCATTGTAGATTCCAAAGATGTCCAATGCTAGCCACACTGATGACATACAGTGTGTACTTAGTAATTGTTTGGGAATGTAAATTTTGTAGCAGTCTCATAATTGCAGGACTAATATAGAAACCAATGGAGGAAATCTAGCTGATCAGCGAGCATGGTGATGTTGCCAGATATTGTTGGATAAAAAAGATTTCTCTTGAAAAAGTCTCTATTTATTGAAATGATGATATTGAGAATTTGAATTTGCCATTTTTCTTTTCCGCAGAGCCCTAAAATATATGTAATTTACTCACTTAGATCAGGATAAGTACAATTGGGAAGCCTTTAAATCGTCCCAGTATAAATTGATGACTGTAATGTTTGGAATTTGTTTTCAGAGAGACTGTCCTGGGGGTAGGTTAATCTTTAATAGGATGTATTTTTATTAGTGGAGAAATTCTTCTACGCAATGAACCAAAAATTCAGTGAGGTTAAAATGTGGGCAGTAGGATAGCAGTCAAAGAAGTGAAATACCATTCTTGAGTGATCACTGAATCTTAAAAGAAATGACATGTGTACACACCACCATCTAATTGCTACTTGGGCATAGTCATGCAGCATATTTAGCATTTTTGTTAGGCTCCAAGTGACAGTCATCATGCTTCCTGGTGCTGCTGCAGAAGGGAGTTCCTGTGGAGTTACTTTTGATGGCTGGCACAGTCTTGGAATGGATACCATGGACAGCATTTTTAATAACACAGAGAAATCAGTTTTAATTTCTTTATTAAAGATTTAGAAACTGTTTCATGCTTCACATGAGAGAATAGTGTTGATTCATTTAAATCAATATAATGTGAGTTATGAAAAGAGGGAGGGGAATAGCTACAGAAAAGTCTAGAAGGATGTAGGAGATGTTTGGATTTAGAAAGAGTCGTAGTGTTGGTGTTTGCCAGGTCCTGAGAGGCAAATGCAGGTTTCCTGTATTAATCCTTTTCTTTTTACATTGGAAAGCATGCGTATGTACAGTAAAATATAAAATTTCCTCAGGAAACCTAGAAGCATAGACATTTTCAGGGCTCTGCTTGCCTGTGTTCAGTAGGTCATTAGAGGGTACTAATGATGGAGGAAATGCCCCATGTTCTTGAACAGGCATTGACAACCTGTATACTCCTTTTAAAAAAAGATCTATTTTTTTATTGAAAAGGCAGATTTACACAGAGAAGGAGATGCAGAGAGAAAGATCTTCCATTGGCTGGTTCACTCCTAAGTGACTGCAGTGGCCAGAGCTAACTGGATCTGAAGCTAGGAGCCAGGAGTTTTTCTGAGTCTCTTATGCAGGAGCAGGGTCCCAAGGCTCTGGGCCGTCCCTGGCTGCTTTCCAAGGCCACAGGCAGAGAGCTGGATGGGAAGTGGAGCAACTGGGGTATGGCTGGTGCCTGTATGGGATTCTGGCGCTTGCAAGGCAAAGATTTAGCTGCTGAACCATCATGCCATGGGACTCATCTAGTATACTTTTTTTTTTTTAAAGAACATTTATCTATTTTTATTGGAAAGTCAGATATACAGAGAGGAGGAAGAGAGAGAGAGGAACATCTTCCATCTGTTGATTCAGTCCACAAATGGGAGCAATGGGCAGAGCTGATCCGAAGCCAGGAGTCTGGAGCTTCTTCCAGGTTTCCCATTCAGATGCAGGGTCCCAAGGCCTTGGGTTGTCCTGTTTTGCTTTCCCCAGCCACAAGCAGGGAGCTAGATGGGAAGCGGGGCTGCTGCGATACAAACTGGTGCCTGTATGGGATGCTGGTGCATGCAAGGTGAGGACTTTGGCTGCTAGGCTATCACGCCGGGCCCTGTACACTTCTTTATTTTTACAAAAAAATTATTATATATTTTATGGTACAGTTTCATAGTCTGTGGGCTTTGCGGTACCCCTCCCTAAGCTCCTCCCCCCATTGATTTCCTCTGTAGTGTTACAATGGGTGGTACTTGAGGAACAGTCCTAAGTTCTTCATTCTGTCTCCAGATATTGTAGGCATGGACAACATCTTGCACACTTCTAAGACACTATTGCTAGCAGTGTTAAAGACCATATCACATGTTTACAGTGAGAGGCAGAATCATATTCCTGAGAAGCACAGGTAGACAGTAAACATTGATTGCAAGTGTGGTGAGCAGTTATGTTACTTGTTCAATTCAGCAAACTTCAGTGAATATTGTTGAATGATTTGTTAAATATTGTTGTGGGAGCAGGAAGAGCAGTGAAGTAACAGTGACTGAAAAAATGGGGGCATGCTGGAAGCAAAGTTGTATAGAGTAGAGCTTAAATGCCAGTGTGTATTCAAGAACTAATAACCGATAACAAAACCCAGTGCTTTAGGAAGCATGGTGGGTAAAGAGCACGGGGATCTGGGTCAGGACTGCGTTTGGATCTTGGAGTTACCTTCTGATGGATAACTTGGGGAAATTCATCACCGGTAACCCTGTTTCTATAAGCAGCGTGCACGATAGACCTTACTTTCTGATCTTGCTGTGACAAGAGGAAAATGATCTGTGCAGAAGTGACATGTGCTGGCCACACCGGAAGTACTGAGTACGTGACTGTTCGCTATGGACCTTCACCTACGAAGGG